GAGGTCCCGTCTCCTGCATCTATTAATTAGTTAATTTGGTTAGGCAGGGGACGTTAAAGAACCCACTTCACGAGATTACTGTGATGTGGTCTGGCCTGGTTACTGGGAATCAGTGGGGGGAGGGGGCATCTGTTATATTCGCTTTCATTTGATTGTAAACTGCTTAGCAGTCTGGTAAAGTCCCCCGTACAGTGTTGTAAAGCGCCATGAGTTCAAGATATGAGCGCTATATAAATACAAGTTATTATTATTATTATTATTATTATTATTATTATTATCATTATCATTATCATTATCATTATCATTATCATTATCATTATTATTATTATTATTATTATTATCATTTGGTACAAAAACATGTGCGAATATTTATCCGTAGATGTTATCTGTTCCGAGATGCGAACAGTTTTCCAAGAGCGAAGTTCGAGGAAAACTGTGAGTTTTCAGGAACAGACAATGTCGAAGGAAAAATATACACGCAAGTTTTCGCGCCAAGTGGAGACTATTGCGTTTCTTATCCTTCAAATATTTTTCAACGCGTGGGAAAAATGTTTACGAACAGCTTTTTGTCTACGATGTGGGATATGTTCACTTTTCAGTGTTCGCTGACGCGATTTTATGAACAAAATAAACTTGTTCCTGTAACAGCCACACAACGTTTCTAATCTTGAAAAAGATTTTAAGTGATAGTCTCCCGTATTGGACGCAAGGTTTGAAGATTGGGGAATGTCACTTCGGGTATATCCACGGACATCCCCAGTTTTAGTTGAGGAATATTCGGTAACGTGATGTGTTTTGACCAATTGCTTGAGCAAAAATATTTGTTGGACTATGAAAGGGAACACCGAGAACATTCCCCGGCCTAACACGTGTATATCTGTTGTAAATTCTCAGCGAAAGGACAAGCTTGGAGTAACTCCGTTTCTTTTTCGTCATTTTACTCTTGAATAAAGATTTCCTTGCTAAATCAAAGCATCCAGAAAAAAAAAAATTTACCCTCGTGGCAGTCATTACATGCATGATGACGACAAGATATTTCTTCGACACGAGTGAAACCGATAACAAATATTAATGATATAATTAATTAATTCACTACACGAACACTGCTGAAACAACCGAAAGGCACCTCAATCAGAAAGAGACCGTGAAGAAATCTACTCATTTCTTAGATTTTAGTTTTTCTTCATTATTGACCGAGTTAATTCAAATTGCAAAACATCGAAAAATCCAGGTTAAATCGTTCAACGCCGGCAAAACGGCCTAGATAGCTAAATTTTTTTTTATAAAAAAGTCAATTATCGAACCTTGTTAGAAGTTGTCATGTATTTCTTTTCTTCCTTGACTTTCTTGATTTCGAGTTGTTCCATTAATTTTCTTGATATTATCTTATTCCTATGGAGAAACAAAGAGGCAACTCTATTATGAATATAATATATATGTGAATCCTTTTTATTCTCGATAATAAAGGTGAACGTCTTGGTGGAAACATTCATTTCGAGCCACTACATTTTCTGGTGACAAATTTAATGTCCTTTTAAATCATTTTGAACCAAGGCATTTGGAAATTTTATCGTAACAACTTACTAAGCATCATCAAAAACAGAATTTGTAATTGATTAGGGAATAACCTAGCTAACCTTGACAATTGGCTCATTGTCTTCCATGGCCCCTGTATAAAAGATGAGAACCGACCCTCTGGTAGCCAGAAACCGTGAGTCTATGCTATGGACTTCAAGAAGTCCCTCCTTTTCGGCGAAAATACACGATTCATACCCTATCCTTCTTTGAGGGGGCTAGTGGGTAAGGGAAAGAACAAGTGAGTTAAAAGTACACTTTGGTCAACACAATATATTAACCATATTAGCTAGTTTAAAAATATGAACTGGAATGAAAAGAGAAATAAGTAAATAAGCGATAAGAACACTAACAATAAAGCAAGAATTTTCTCGCGTTGCCACCGAGTCATATTGAAGAAGAACTGACATGGCGGCTGCCGCTGAAGAATTGTCCTCCACTGTGCGATGTGCATTGCGCTCTTCATTCTTACAATCGACTCTGTGAATAAATCTTACAAAGGCCACAACGAGAAAGATGAACACTGTCTTACTATCCAAATGTAACCTTCGATAGGTTATTTACCTGAGTAATGGCGGTAACTAGGTGAAAAGCATGAATCCTCGACAAAGTATCCGAAGCACTTCATCCAGCATAAGAACACTCGCCAACCTGGACAGAAAAGACAATATCCAAAGTAGTAGGGTCGAAATAACGTGTTTCTTTACTCCACAGAAGCTAAAAGACACGCTCAAATTTCTTGTAGTTCGTAAACTCTTTCCACGTGCGAGACTGGGCGCAAATGTGAATATTAATTTTGAAATTATTTGTGATTCAAATGAGTTTTTCGACTTCCAAAGGCGGGTTCGAAATATTAGTTCGACACATAGTTCGATTACAAAATGAAGTAGGATGTCTCGCTTTAGATAGATTCTCAACAGAAGTAAGAAAGTTCACCAGAGAGCTCCAAATAGTGTTGTAACTTTGGAAATGTCAACCCGAACTTAAATGAACCTGAACTTTAAATGTTTTGCTTAAACAGCATATTTAATTTTTCGTCGTTTCAGAAGCATACAACCAAGGTTACTGGGATAAAAAATCGGGAATATACATAAAACTGCTCAGCGCCGGCACTTCTTTTCACAGGGAATATCGATTAAAATAATCATAAAGTTTATTTATAGGAAAACCACACAGAGTTATGTACAAAATAGTAGCAAAACGCATTTATTCTAAAATTATGGGAATTTCTTGAAGTAAAGAACAGAATGAGACTAGACTGGTATTGAAATAGTGACCTTGTAAATTTATTCATAGGAAAGAAATGGTCGGATGTCCAACGATGCCAAGCTTGACGAAGAAATGAAGGTGGCATTCCCTGGTACGTTATTCAGTGGTTTATATAATCAGTGCATCACACCCCCCTGTCCAAGTATTATGATCTTGTCGGTTGCCAGGTCATATCTGACCACGTCCGCGACAAGGTTAATCCACAACGCAGAATTTGAAACTTCACGCGAGAATGTTTTGTCTCTCTCAACTACTTGAAGCCCTTTTCTTTTCAACTGAGTATTTTCAATCCCTTGTCCTCTTTGCTCGGGAGATCTCCAAAGGTGTACTTTGATCAAGAAAGGAGCTAAAGGAAGGAAAAACCACTTTAGTTATTTCCTGATTACGTAATGTAATGTAGTGTGACTATGCGTAAAAATAAGTTACTATTCTTTAATTTTCCTTTGTACCATTTTTTTTCAGGCTTTGATTGGGGAAAGCTGAGCAAGCGTTGCGAAAGTTTTTTCACTGAGTTAAAGCAATAGAAACGTTAAATGGGAAGAGTGTGGAGACTGGCAACGCATTTACCCAATAAATCTCTTTCGTTCATTCTTCACATTTTCTTTCATCAATCGTTGTCTTGTCGTCAGAATATGGTGGTCTGTCTCCCATTATGCATTAACACAGATCCCACTGGAAAAAAAAAAACTGGCGCTTCAACCATATCGAGTTTGTCAACTCAACTAAACAGCCACGCAGCGGTCGTCTCCCGGGAAAGGGGGGGGGGGTGCTCCCGCAAATTTTGGCTAGGGATGTGCCGCGAAAGTTCGTGAACCCTAACCCTATTTAGGACTAAGAAAGCGAAAAATGATACCCCTTTTAAGGCCCAAAGCCGAAAAGTGACACCCTATTCAAGGAAAAAACAAAATTATTAATAGCATGAAAAGGAAAACTTTATTTCTTCTCCGTAACATTGGAGGTATAGTATCAAGCATAAAATACTAGAATAAGCTTAGTTTAATAATATGCAATCATAACCATGATACATCTTTCAGTCGGTCTGTTTATTACAGCGGATTACAGCCAGGATTATTCGTGCTAGAGTGTCTCTACCTACTCTACTCGTATTGAACTTTGATCGTGGCTAAAAACTACCCTTCTATCACTCGTTATTTCATTGAGCTAAGTTTTGTTGTGAGAGTTCTGCTAATTAAATGAACGACAGTCATATCATTAATTAATAATGTGGCTTGAAGAGGCGTTACGTGTATTTACCCGCTTAACGGCTATTAAACCTCTGTTGCAAAATCATTTTGTTACAATACTTAAACGGATAAATCAAGTTTTAAAAAAAAGCGTGCATTTAGGCGGGCGTTTTCACACTCCAGTCTTAGATAATACAATTAAGCTGCCCTATCTAAGGACCACACCATGGACACAGAAACAAAAGGGTAAAAAAAGATACTCTATTTAAGGACCGAGAACCTCAAAAACCATACCCTATTCCGCGGCACGTACCATATATGCGAGTACCCCCCTGGGGGTCGTCTAGTGCCGTCGACCGTTGCGTGACATTCAAAAAAAATGACTGCGAATGAACATTTCATCATTTCCGGAACTGTTAAGCCTTGGCCTGCCGGTTGCCAAGGTCGACGAGCTCTAAAGAGGAATAAATACACCAAAATGGAAAACGGTTGTGTAAGAAGGGCGGGCATGACAACGGCATTTGCATTCTCAAGATAAACAAAGCTTACCCTGCAAATGTTTGAAGAACTGTAAAAACTCTGGAAACAGAGCGAGAGGGAAAAGTCGAAAAGGAGGACAATGGTGCGTCCGTTGCATGACAGTACACAATGAAAGTGAAATGAAGACGTCTGCACTTTCGCTAACACAACTGAATTCCCAATGACTGACAAAAATGAAGAGTTACTTAACAATGCTATCTTTAGACTTGAAATATTTCGACATATCCAAGGTTTAAATGATCACAGGGAAATATGCAAATGTACCTCGGAAGCCACTCCGTTTCCCTTCCGAAACCTTGTCGATTTGTAATTTCGTTCATAGCCTGTTAGTAGAGGGGAAATGATGTAAGATAATTAATTTTACAAGCGAGTTTTAAATCTTTTACATCGATTTCTCTTTCCTCGGCAGCCCTCGAGAAGGATAATCTGCTCGACCTTGTTTTTCCCTCAGTGTTTGTTTTTGTTTGTTTCTACCTCCTTACAGGTTTAGGTAGACAATGGTTCAACCCCAGGCTCACGCGTCTTTCTTCAAGAGAGAATGATCTTCTCTTATGGTGACTGTGCATTGTAACTTCTGAATAAAAAATAAACAAATACGTCATATAAGGGGTAAGCCCCCGCCACGCCTTGCTGGAACAAATCAAAAGCCCTCCAAATTGCCCTTCCGTACATTGTTAACTAAGGGCTGCACCGAAAATTTTCAGTTTCTTTGTTCTACCTTCAATTTATGAGTCATTCGAAGACAGAAACGAAGACCACAAGTCCAGCTGGCGTTCACACGAAAAGAAAACGGCAATTTACCACTTATTCAGCTCGTAAACGCGCACAAGAGGTCAAGAACGCATGACACATTGTCTCTGCTGCAATAGTGTTTCAACATGGCACACAGGTTTCTAGTTTTCGCCATCAGTTTGATGGGATTCCACTCGTCTCTCGTAAGTACTTGCTTAATATATTTCAAAATACTTAAACACCAGATTAGATAATGCTCTAGAACCACTGTAGTACTTGTGTATTCTCGAGAAACGTACATTTGATATTCGGTTTACTGACTACGGTAGTGCGTCATCCTTGAACCGTTCTTACTTCATCTTCACTGCGTGATATATAGTCCGCACTAAATTACTTACCCAACAGCTCACTTCTCCTTATTTCGACCGTAAAACCTAATCGAATTTGGCAAACGAGTTTATCATTTACGCTAAAATATCATCTGTTGACACGACACGCTTGGTGTAATGTAACAAAAAATATTTTGTCCCACGCTTCCGACAGGTATTAAAAGTAAAATAAAAATTGTATGGTTCCTGTCTCAGCTGCGCTGAAGGGTACAAGCGTCATGCGAACGTCAACTATCGATGTAGGCACGAAATTTTTATTTCAATAGCCGCTTGAGCGTCATGTTGAAAGAGACATTCCTCAAGCGATGTGGATCATGATCGCTTTTCGATGCGACCTCATTACAAGCGTAGCGTGATCGTTGTTGTTTTTGACCTCTTTCAAACAGCTCCTTTAAAACAATTTAAAAGCTCTTGTTTTCGATTTTGGCATTGAAAATCAGGTGTAATCAAATTCATCAGAGTTTGTTGATCCTTAACACTTTTCAAGAAAAACGTTTACATAGGAAACCACTGCAGAATATTGTGTTATTGTTCTTAAATGCCTTTTCATGATCACCGCCATGGAACTGCGCCAACTTCCTGTTTTTTTTTTTTTTCAGTTATAATTAAGTTTTAAATGAGTTTAACATTAGTTTTAGTTTTAGCCTTCTTTCATTTGCAATATTGACTTGAGTGTGGTACCCATTAAAGATGTGTATTCTCTCCGATCGAAAGTCATTATAAAGCAAAACCTAAAAAAATGTTACTAACAGAACTGAAAAAACTTTTGATGCAGAACACCGGCGCAATATCTATTGTTTCTTGACGAGACGAGCAGTGCTGATGAAAGTTTCTGATAAATGATGAAATCGTCCAATTGTATCACCAATATGTGTTTATATATTGCTTCAAAATTGAATTATTGGTTGCATCACTCAGGATATGTAGAGCAAACATTTACAGGTGCTAAATGTGATGTATCACTTTGTGTGGGCTTGATTGGTTCGCCGAAACTTTTCAACTCAGTGATACTTAAGTTGTTTACTCATTTGCATGCCCGATCAAGTCTACATCAAGATCATTAGAAAATAAAAGTAATCATCGAAAATCGTGAGGGCTTTTTGTTATCATATGCCCCCAAGATAGCATTTTTCGAGCAAGAGATAGTATTTGTAAAAGTCTCTTTGATTTAGCTGTAAGTTCTTCTAAAGTCAGTCCTGGTCATTAACAATAAATCGTCATGGCATCGCATACCCTTGTGGTTTCTACTGTAAAGAAGCTTGGTTGTTGCGTGCATAACAGCACGTACCGTCATGAGTTCAACCATGCGCATGATAATAAAAAAACCGCTGCGACGAGGCTTTTCAAGACACCGGGTACATGAAATTTCCCTTTAGGTATATATTTATAATAAGCAAACTTTACCTTAAAATAGAACCGCAAGGCGTAAAACGTGATGAGGAAAAAAAATTTCTAATGTTAAATAAACTCAAGTTCTAAACGTAATTCATTCATTTTCTTATTCTTCCTTTCTTATATCTGCTGAAAGTCACTGAGTGAAACAGAAGTAAACTTCTATCCAGTCTCTCCAAAGTTAATCGACTTGGCTTGTAGAAAGTGCCCGGCAGGATTTTCTACATTGTGCAGCCAAACTGAAGAATCTCGTTGCGTGAAATGCGCTGAAGGAACATACTCTGAGCACGCTTCTCGTCGCGTAACATGCAAACGTTGCTCCAGCTGTGGTTTCAAAGAATTCGAGGTTCTTCCTTGCACTCCGACGTCGAATGTTGTGTGTAAAGAATGCAGCGCATGTCCTCCTGGGTTTGGAGTACTGAGGCCTTGCGAAAAGACAAGAGATACTGTCTGTAAGGAATGCCCTTTTGATAAAGACGGCATACGGATCTACAAAGACAAAGATTGCGGAAGAGGAGGAGGTGAAGGTAATCCTTGGTTTTGTTTACAGAAAAGTTTCCATATATGCCTGGGATGATGGCTTTGTGTCTCCTCACAAAAGTAGTCGGTCAGTTGGTGCTAATTGTTTTTAAAAATAGTTGTACATTTTAGATAAAAGCTTTGATTTAAGAGTCATGGAAAAATATTGGTAAGGTAAGATCTTTTAAGTTCAATTGTTTGTTCTTTGAATGAAAACTTGTCTTTTTGGTGTAGATTTCCTTGTCCGCAATAAGAGCAGAGAACACGAGAAACCTGAAGACCGTTTGACAGTTGTAAGAGTTGAGAACCCTTTCGCAGATGGCAGAAGAAATCCCAAGTTTCAACACAGATTGATACTTGGAGTTCATTCAACCAGTCCAAAGCCTCCAAGCTTATTCTCGTCGAGGATACCAACTGTTAATAGCTCGCCGTCGTCTCAGCAGACAGAGAAAACAATTTACGATTACGATTTGACCCTGCAACACCCAACAGATCATCGAATGCAAGGAGATGACGAAAACACTCCCCACCGTCCTTCGAGGAAGACTGGTCAGAACAGTACAGATACGGTGACTCCGCGTTGGAAATCTTCCCTTTCTTCATCTCAGCCTCTCAACACTAAATTAAACACTTTTGGAATAGAGGAAGAGCGCACCACAAAGGTTCCTCAACCTGAGCATACTATTAGAACAAGTAAGGCTTGGTACAAATACTCTATTTCATCAGTTTCCCAAAAAACCAACCGTTAGGTTCTCATTGAGTATTGTGATGAACATTTTGCTATGCATTATCATTTCAGAAGGTGCGTTTAAGTCGGGGATGGTGAACATGATGAGCTTCGACGTGGACAAAGAAGTTATGCTTCCCGAGCCAAATTCTGGACGTGACCAGGATATTTTCCCACAAACCAAACCCTGGCTATGGATAGCGATTACAGTAGTTATCGTTGCTGTGTTCGTAGTTGCCTTGGCACTCGATCGGCTGAAAAACTTCAAGAAAACAAAAGGTGAAAGTTCTAGTTTTAAAGGAAACTGTGACTATAAAAATCCAGTGACGTATTTTTTCTCTGTCTCAAAGAGCAGTTCTTGCGTCTTGGATAAAGGACTTCATTCATGCAATCCAGGCAGATTTCCATCACTAGCCTCAGTATGATAGATGTTTCCACTTCTGCTTAGGCCAAGCAATCACTTTTGACATTAAAAGTGCAGGTCAAGAAATTTCTCTCATAGTCCAAGCTAATGTGGTCATTGTTTTTACCCACAGGATGCTTCTTTGTCTGCCCGCTGACAGACTGCAGACGCCCGCGCTGTATGGCACCATCCGACTGCTGTGACAGCACATCAGTATCAAGTGTTGCAGGTTCATGGGCAGAACAGGTTTGTGTCGATTCCGTCCACATAGATTGACGTTGACGTTTGGTCTTAGTGTAGTTATGAGAGCAATTATTATGAATCGGTACAGTGTCAAAACAGGAAGGACTCTTTAGGCTAGCCACATAAGTTAAGAATTTGATGCACCTAGACCAGTTGCCTGAAACCCCGAAGAAATAACTCTTCTCTTGGAGAGGCTTCTTCTTATGCGGCAAAGGTTGAGAGAGTTGGCGAACGGTAAAGGCGGGCACCAATTAATGGAACCATCATCTAAATACTCAAGTCTAATGATTAACGCCTCCGTTTATTCCAAGAGAAGTTACAGTAATCGTAGATATTGTTATATACCTGGACTTTCGCCAACAAAACGAGAACTGTGATTAGTTGATTCTTGGTCACGTGCTCCTGACCAAATTCAAATGTATCCCGACCGGGATACAATTGTGCAGTCGTTTCCCGCGCGCCGAATTCAAAAGCATGTTTTTGCCTTATGATTGTTGGAAGGAAAGTCTAAATATATAACAAAGCACTTAATGTATGGTCGCTTGGGAAACTAGTTAGTTATGTTGTTTTCTTTTTAAAAAAATTAAACATTGCCCTATTTACGTACTCATTTGGTTATGTTACTGGCAGGGTGGAAATGTCGTAGGAGTGCCTGTCGATGTACATGAGCCTGAGTCGAGCCAGCCTACGCTACACACCTTCCTGCCCTCTGAAAACACTGTTGTGGCTGCTGATGTCCATCACACCACAGTATTTGACGTGTTTAACATAACGTACGTCGTCAAGCTTGTCTTTTTTTTTGTTTGTTTTTTTTTTCTCGATAATTTGAGTCATGGAGGTCAGAAAGTGTTAGCCAGTAATCAGTTAGTAAGGAGTGCGCGAGGCAACGTGGGCACGATAGTTGCGCAGAGCGAAAAAAATGAGGAGGGTTAGGGAGGGGTCTCTTAGGCGCCTGACCTTACCAAAACATTTGCAATATTTCACTGTTGGATAATTTGTTGGCATCCCATTAACTAATTGAAATCGTGTAACAGGTGAACATGATTGTCTTCGACCTAAACATTTACTGTTTTTTTTTGTAGCCGTTTGCACTTTCTGTTTTCCTCGGAATAAGAAACCAAAAACAACAACAACAACTACCAATCTCGTCATACATTAGAAAATGGCTTGACTTTATGTATGACTTAAGATCTCGTGTCTACTTCGACCGACTTAAAGCTTTACTAAAAAGTCCCTAAGAAGTGGACAAACTACAAAGGAAATTTATACCAAAAAGCGGTTGAAAAATAAGAAAAATATTAAATGAACTCGAGCAATACATAAAACATCTCGTTTCTAGTTTGAAAGGGTTTTTGAAGATTTTGAGAAGTCTATACCGTTCTATGCCCATGCTATCATAAATCATCTTAAAAACAACGATTTCCAGACCGATACTTTGGATTCACGTTACGTTTTTTAAATGACAGGTCGCCGCTAAGATATATCACTAAAGCAGAAGCCACGTTCGACAACACCGGTGGGAAGTTGTCTGCGCCTGATTCCGATGTGACAATCACAGTTGATAGTGGAGCGGTCCCCGACGGAGTTCACCAGAATTTTTTCTTTCGAGTGGTCTATGACGAAACCTCTCTGTTGCGAGACATCCCGGAGACGCCAGATAGGACGCTAATTTCCCCCGTGATCGAGTGTGGACCACACGACATCAACCTACTTAAGCCGGTTGAAATCACTGTTCCACATTGTTTATACTTTGACGAGATCAAGAAAGACTCGATAGCTGTTTACAGATGTGAGCGATATTCTGATCAAGGTAAGTTGGTAATCAGTATATTTCCAGTATATATGTTTATATACATAGGAAGTCTACGTTTCGATTTTTCCGTGTTACAGTACTCGACACATAAAAGTAGAGAGCAATAGATGTTGAGTTAGAAAAATACAAAGACTACGCTTTCGTCCCTACAGGCCTGTTTAGAGATTGCTCACTCATCAGAGCATCAAGTTAAAATCCCCTGATGAGTGAGCAATCCCGAAACAGGCTTGCAGGGATGAAAGCGTAGTCTTTGTATTTTTCTAACTCTACATATATTGCGCTCTACTTCTATGTATCGATCACTGTAACACGGAAAAATCGAAACGCAGACTTCCTCTATATAACTAGAAATGGAGTTATAAACCCACGTAAATGCTTTAAAAAATTCTAATTCTATACCAGTCAGTAGCTTGTCGTACAAAACTAGTCAGTTTAACCTGACGAGGCTCAAGTTAGTGAGAACACAATAACACAATAAGGAGCCAATTCTCAATCAAGCGCGCTAAATAGATTTTACAAATTCCAAGTAAAACTTGAAAAAAAAAATTAATAAGCAAAAAGGCTCAGTTTCTCTGATCAATTTAACTATTACGTAATGGGGAGTGGCAGTAGTGTTAACTAGTCACAGCTCTGTCACCGAGATGAGTTTTCATTTGCGCCCACTTTGAACAGCTAGAATATAGTTCTATGCTGAAGCCACCTTTACAGTAAGTAAACAAATATATGGACTGCATTTAGATCTTCTTCATTATCTTAATGTCTAAGGAACAATCCAATGGGAAAAGGTTCCATCAATATCAGAGAAAAATCACCACTCCAAGGCATGGTTCGCGGTGAAAAAAGATTCCATCCACATTAAGACCAAAACTTTTTCTTTTTGGAGCATATTCTCATGTGGTGGATCGAAGAAGAAAAGGGCGACAGTTTTCTTCAGCAGACCAGGCAGACATAGCGATCTGATCTACCTCAGGTTCTACATCTACAGTGATAACGAGGATTCAAAGAAAGTAAGTGGTTAGAAGGGTTGTAATTCCTTTTATATTGCATGCAACAGTTATCAGACTCGGAAGAAAGATAGTATTTGCGGGTATTCGAACCCGAGACAATTCCGAGTTCGCGGTCGCTTGATACAGCAATTGAGCGCGGACATAGGAATTGATTGTGTGCGAGGCCATAACCTAGATTCGTAGTTGACAAGTGCCTTGTATACTGCTAGGATCAGCAAAGTCGCAGAAGTTAATCGTGGTCTGATCCTCCGGATGTAATGAACCTGAAAAAGGCTATTGTCGATAATAATAACTGGCGTTTCAATGGCTACGGTCAAAGTTCAACGGAAGACATTTGTTTCAGTTTACATTTAGGTAAGTAAGGGTTCGTCAAACGAATATTTCCCTTTACGCAATTGCTCTTAACATCAAGATTCCAGTCGCACTTTCCTCAGCTGCGCGTGCGTCTTCAGGCTTTTCCTGTATCATACGAGAACTTGATAAGATTCCATTTTACCTATATTTCGAATGCTGATCTTCATTCAGGCTTAAGCCGCATGCTTCTCAATTGAAATAATAATCAATGCTTATATCAGAGACAACAAAGGTTCCCGATTTTCTGGTGAAATAAAGGTGCGCAATCATTTTTTTTTTATCACAGCGAGTTGAAATACGAGAAAAAGAACGTTTTCCAGGCTCCAAGCCAGCCAAGGAGAAACTTTTTACGATATACGATGGAGGTAACGATATCGCCGTAAAACTCACGGAAATTCAAGAAGGATGGGAGCTCGACAAGACAGATGCCACACAGGTAAACTTGAAAAGATCTATTATTAACATGAAGAAAATATCTACTCCGCCCTATGTCTTCTATGTTAAACTCCGAAGGATGTTGAGTATGAAGTTTGGGGTTGGATGAAATTGAATTCGTTCCTGCAATATCTTGCATAATCAGTTTGTTGCGTGACTGCTGTTTGAAGCAGTTGTCGCATTCAAGCCGAACAGTGTCAAGCACGTTTATAATTGTTAATGTTCCAACCATCATGATCATGAGTATTTAAGGCTTATGTGCACTCGTTTTCTTCCGAGAGAAAACAATGCTTTGCAACGCTATAATTCAAGGGAGGGGGGTCCTCTCGGGGTGCATGTCTACCCCCTTTGTGGTATGGAATTTTATCATGATAAAGGTTACACTGATTTGCTCCTAGACTCCAAAAAGATGTTTATATAGAATCCCCCGGCTAAAAAGTCCTGCTTCTACCATCGCTTTGAACGAAAGACAGAAATCGTTCAAGGATTATAATTAAGACTAATAAATATATATCATTTTTTATTACAGACATACCCCTTTGACATTGCGTATCGCAATGGATTTCGCTCCAACGACTCGTGCGATTTTGCTGTAAATCCTATAAGGGAAAATGTTCAGCCATTTTCATGTAATCTAAGATTTCAGCAGGAGGAAACCTCCAGGGAACACACGATCTATCTAAACCCAGGCTATGACCTACGTAAGGTAACGTATCCATGGTGTCCTCTAATATTCGTACTCCATTCAAACTCCAGAAGTATAACGTTGTTCCCCTGTCACGTAGCGTCCGTTTTACGATCGCACACGATAAGTATTCTTGCCCTTGTTCCCTAGTGTAATGATAATCGTGATTTGTTCTGACAAGCGGATTTCGATCGAGTGTCGTAAAGTTAAAGCACAGTAAACGAAACGAGCGATCAGAATAAAGGGGCCTGTAAAAACAAATAAACTGCTTGAAGCGCTGGAAAACGCAGTAACTGGCAAAATGCGACTAGGTCTAACATAGTTTAATATCTGATTGGTGCGAGTTTTCTGGACCAATCACAGGGCGCTGAAAAGCAAAACCGAAGCAATCCCGATTCATTTCCGACAATCGATCGAAAATTGCCTCGTGAGCTATCTCAACCCCGGCACTAAATATTTGTGATGCATTTGTGTAAGAATCGAATCGCGAAGCAATCATATGACTATAACAACCTGGTGCCACAAAGTCGCGTAGAAACAAGTAGACATAAGGAGGTCATTCTCATTTTGCTTATGTTTTCCCCTTTTCTTTCTGCAACCAGGCTACTCGTCCTTCTTCCGAGGAAATCTCACCTTCTAGCAGCACAAGCACTATCAGTGAATTTCATCCTTCAAATGAAGCAGAGGAAAACAAAGGCGGCAATAAGATAACATATGCAGGTCGGTAATGAAGCCATTGCTATCGTTAGTTGGCAAAGTTAGGATAATCCGCAAAAAGTTACATGTCCAGTATAAAGGACATGTTTTTAGTTCTACTTCACTAAGGCCCTGTTTACAAGCAGGTAGGGTTACCCTGGCAGGAGGGTTACCCTAATGCTCCCACATTTCTTCTTTTTTTCATCGACGTGTTTACAAGACTGCTAGGGTTACCCTAGCACTAGGGTAACCCTAGCTGAGTGCTAGGGTTACCCTAGCGCTAGGGTAACCCTAGCTGCCTTGTAAACGCTCTGCTGGGGATAACTCGCCTACCCGGGACAACTTTTTACTTGTTTCCAGACCCTTTGAACATTGATAACAATGCGTGCGGTTACCAAGCATAGGTAAGTTGTCCCGGGTGGTAGGGTAACCCTACCTGTGAAATTTTGCTTGCAAACCCGGGCTATCTTTGACCCGCCTGCTAAGGTAACCCTAGCACAAGGGTTACCCTCCTTGCTTGTAAACAGGGCCTAAAACACTTTGTAGCATTAGTCCTTCGATACTCATGAATTGCAAATTGTTCTTAATAACTGCAGGACGAAGTTATGTCCCGTTGGGCAAGGGTGACGAGCCTGTTACCGAAAATCATTTGCGCTGCATACATCTCAAGATTGTCAAATGGAAGGACGTTCTTCGATACCTGGGCTTGGAGGATGTAAAAATAGAAATTTTAGACGAAGAACATAAGGCAATTTCAGAAAAATGTTATCAAGGGCTCCTAACATGGATGAGAGGGGACAAAAATGCTTCGACGAGAGATCTGTGTGACGCCTTACGACGCGCAGATTGTTTAGAAGCGTTAAAGGAGTTGTCTAAAGAGCGTGAGTCAAATTGTGGTGATAATATGCATTTCAATCGTTAAAAGATTATAATAAGTTTATAGGGAATTGAGCCAAAAGACGTAAATTCCTTACATATCAAGTCATTTCTTTCACAGTTAATTCCCATGAGTTAAAGTATGTGGTCTCCCGGTGTTGATAATGCATGGGAAAGGGGGCATTGTGCCTCGCACGTTGCTTGAATCTTTCAGCGCAGGCAAAAGAATCAACGCCGTTGGGGATTTCCACGTGACCAAATACGCGATTCAGGATTGGTTATTTCTGGATCCTCTTGGCGTCCTTGAGAACTAGGTCGATTGCATTAAGAAAAAGGGGGGTTTAGTCTCTCAACCTAATGTTCTCCTCATCATTCTCACTTGCTACGAATATCACAAAGACATCATCCCTAAATCCGCTGCTAAGATGCGGTGTGACTCAATTTTCGGGTTTACTTCGGTGTAAAAACCATTGCAATTTTTCTTTGTTCTGTCATCAATATTTTCCTACACTCTGTTGTTTTGCCTTCTTTGTTTCCTTTTCCCTGCTTCACTGGTAAACTTAACAGATGCTTTCCAAGATTAAGCCCGTCCTTTTCACCGATGTTTACTTGAATTGCATGCATATCTTTAGTTGTATGAAGTCTCCTCTTGCGTTTGTGTCTTATCTTAGTAACGAAAAGCTTGGATCTAAAAATTAATCGAAGCCTAATGTGTGTGACTATGCTGCATGATAAATTCGTCGTCGGATACAAGCAACATAGAGTTTTGATCACACGCTCTTCTCTTCCGAACACTATATTAACTCAATATCTTGTCATTTAAGGCTTACCAAAAGAGGAACCGCTGGCCAAATCAACGGAAGAAAACAATGAAAACAACTGGACAATTGTGTGATAGGACTATCCCGCCGCAAGACTCTGAAGATGGGATCTAGCCGGTCAGTTGAAGGCAACATGATAGACCATGTGAGTTCTTCGTTCGCTTCTCGGCTCAAGCTTCGTCAGTTGCAGTCAGTAGTACCAAATAAAAGGATGAAAAACTCCAGTCTTTGCCCTCTATTCTGGATGGACTCAACTTGGAGATCATAGTGCAAAGAACACCACCCAAAGTTGGAAAGCGTTAGAAAACATAAAAACCTTTGAATTCAAAATTAAAGCAGCAAACGCTTAGTTCAGCATTTTTGTTAAAATTTTGCACGTCCCATATATAGACATAATTTGGATATATCAACAAAGTTGAAATGGTAAATTGGCCACCGTAACGATTACAAAAGCTGACGTTTCGAGCGTTAGCCCTTCGTCGGAGCGTATAGAGGAATTGTGGGATGTGTGTGCTTTTAAAGGCAGAAAATGGAGCTACGTTATTGGTTTGAACATGGCAACGGGAAAAACAAGAATAAATTAGTGGAATGAAAAGCGTTCGTTGATCCCTGTGGGATTTAGACTGCCGGTTTGAAAGATGAGCTTCTGTTAAAGATTTTTACGGCTTTCCGTGCTACCTAAGTGTAAGGAAAGACCGCCGACTGCCATATGTTGCTTAGAATGATTGGGTAAATTAAAATGCCTAGCGACTGGTTTCGATGTGTCCTTGTCATTCCTTTCCACGTCTCGAAGGTGTTCTCGGAATCGCTCACCTAGTCTTCTGAATAAAGGCTGATAGTTTCGAAACTGTTTGGGGCTGCGTCGGTGGGGGTAACGAAATAATTTGGATATATCAACAAAGTTGAAATGGTAAATTGGCCACCGTAATGATTACAAAAGCTGACGTTTCGAGCGTTAGCCCTTCGTCGGAGCG